GAGAGTAAGCGAACTCGGTCAACGGATGTCAAGGGAATGATGGTGAGATATGTGGAAGAGAGAGAGGTTGTGGCTAGATCTAGGTCGGTAGCGCTACATCCACGGGCATGGGAGGAGACGGAGAGACTGGATGAGGCTACGCTGCCTGGTGCCGAGGAGGCGGATGCGAAGGATGATGACATCCTGGGAAAGAGAAAGCGAGGCAGGGGATGGCAGCAAAATTGAGATGTATGACTGCGCCAAGCCTCGTGGTGACAACTGGGGGCAAAAAAGAAAGAAGAAGGATTGCGATGAAGAGAAGAGACGGAAGATGAGGAGGCCATAGCAGCCGGAGTGTTGGTCTCTTTGTCACATTTACTCAACACCTTGACAGTCCAAACGCGCGCGTCAACACTCAACGCGAATTCCTCATCATCTCCTCACCCTCCACCACTCCGAGATCCGAGACTTTTTCAACAAGTCTATCTATCTATCCAGTCTCGAGGTGAACCAAACAGCGGGGCCTAATTTATACGTTGACATCTCTAAACGGCAGCAGCTAGAAGTGTGAAATCATGCTGGACGACAGCACTTATCAATTGAACATTGTGCCGAAAAAGAGAGCGAACAGAGTCATCGCTCTGTCGGCAAGGTGGACCCGTGAACAAGGCTAAGTGCGCTGCCCGAATTGAGTTGCAATTCAGGGTCCAAGCGAGCTAACTAATCATAAAATCGTCACGCCAAGCTTGAATTGACCTCCTCTCGTGGGAATGAAGCCGACAGACAGATAGACGGTCAGAAGGAGAACAACTTACACAAACCCACCATCAACGTTTTTTCATTTGCGTTGCCAACTAACGTGGAGATATCTTCAAGCCCTGTCGATTTGCTGATCGGAGAGTATCTGCCAGAAGGGCACCTTTGCACTTTTCCATATCGTACAGATCTTGGATTTGGAACATCCGCACCGTAGAGTTGCCCTTGTTCCACTCGATAGGGCAAGACGAAGCAACATCAGGCAGTGCATACACAACTTGATCACTATACACAGAGACGAGTCCTTCAGCATAGACACTTGTCAATAAACACATCGCTATGCCGACCTCGCATCCGCATCGAGCGAGGTATGCACCGTTGCGGCACGACACCACTTCTACCGGTCAAAGTTCAACCGGATACTCGTCCCACATCCGCACTGCGTATCTTCAAACCCGTTCCTACCTCGACCGAACAAGAAACGCCTTTCTCGCACTGCCTCGAGAGCAGCGATACATGCTCTACCTTGTGCTCGGCGTCAAGTTTCTCATCTTGGCAATCGTCGTTTACATTGGACCCGAGGCAATGTTTGATGCCACCGCCAAGCTTGCCATCTGGTTTGGAACAAAATCTTTTGGCGCCGTCTTGCTCATTGCTTTGGTGGTCATTGTGAGTTTCCCGCCTCTTGTCGGATATGGAACTTGTATTACTCTGTTTGGATTGGGTTGGGGTGTACATGCCGATGCCACATCTTCACATCCACAACTCAATGGTAACCTACTTGAAGCGTGGCTTCTCGCTTCAACAGCCTGTCTCCTCGGTGCCACTGTATCCTTTAGCGTTTTACGATTCCTGATTATCCATCATTCGAAACGCGTCTCTTGGATCAGTTCCACCTTAAACGATCCTAAATACGTCGCTCTATCCACCGCCGTTCGTCAACGTGGACTTTTCATGGCAATTCTTATCCGCTTTTGCCCTTTCCCATTCGCCTATTCCAATCTTTTCTTTGCCAGTCTAGTCGATGCGGTCTCTTTGAAACATTTCTTGACAGCTACCGCTTTAATCACTCCGAAACTTTTCTTACATGTTTGGTTGGGAACAAGAATGTTTCAATTGATGGATAGAGAGCAACGTGCACATTTGGATGGTTGGGCCAAAGCTTTCAATGTAGTGTACATCGCAGTCGGTTCGATTGTAGGTGTAGCGACAGGATGGATTGTTTGGAACGAGACAAACAAAATTCTAGAGTCAATCCAGAGAGAACAACAACAACAACTAGATCAACCAGATAGACACACTTCGGGTAGCAGCACCAACAGCACCAATCGCGAATCGCAACAACAGCACAGGACTTTCAACTTGCCCTACTCTGATGCACCAGAAACAGGCAAAACAGTGGCAGAGCAAGCTACATCACCATTCATTCTCGACTTTGACGAGGATGCCGATGCCGATGAGGTCAAAGACCAGGTCAACCACAATTCCACAGATTCTGCTGCTATAAAGTATCTTCTTCCTCGATGAATTCATTCTTTAGACTCACTTAGAGATTCATAATGGCAAATCATGCTCATACGACGCAGAATCTCCGCTTTTGTGCAAGTCTGCACATGAAGTTACAATTCGATACAGACTGTGCATCGTCTACATTATTCGCTGTCCTCAGCCAAAGGCAACACCTGATACACCTCGCTTCTTCCATCCCTCGCCATTCGGCCAACATCGCTCAAGCTGACTCCCGCCATCTCGGGCAACTGCCAATACGTAAACCCGCAACTTAGCGCCGAAACCACGCTAAAGACCCCAAAGCACCCCTGTGGCTTGATCAATTTCACCATGTGCAAAAATGTTGCCGAGACCAACAGATTCGTACTCCAATTTGTAGCCGTCGCCAGGCCAGCTCCCAGGCCTCTCACCTGACCCGAAAAGATTTCCGACTGGATCAGCCACGGTATAATACCCAATCCGAGAGCGTAGCTCAAAGTGAAGAGGACCATAAAGATGAGGGTCCAGTAGGGCCACGCTGAGGTGATGCTGGTTTGCCAAGATTCGGAAGGTGTGCCAGATACAGGTCCAAGGTCGATCTGGCTGAATCCGATAGCGACGAGCGAGAGGAAGCAGGCCATAGCTGCGGTTGTGTAGAGCAGGAGTTTGCGACGTCCCCATCCATCGATATAGCGCATGGCGATCATTGTGCCGATGAAGTTGGCAACGGCGATACTGAGTGCGGCTGCGTTAGGATTGGCTGTAAAGTTGGCCATCAGAAGTAGACGCGAGGAAAAGTACATGAGCGAGTTGAAGCCTGTCCATGCAATCAAGCAGAGTAGAGCAAAGAGTAAAGAGCATAGAGGATCAGTGAATCTGTTACATCGTTCAGCCTCAAGCGGCAACCTCAACATTAATGAGGCAATTGCAATCTTACCTGTTGCTTGTTGAAAAAACTGCAAGCCGCAAGCAATCAACAGCGCCCGCCGGTGTGTTGGGTCGTGCAAAAGCATATTGAGCTTGCTCTTCACTTGAGTTGTGCGTTGGCGTGCGGAAGAGGTGAGTTGTGCGGGAGCTGCTGCGATTCTGTCAAATGTTGTTTGCAGATCGCTTCCTGTGTTTCCGTCCTCTTCTGTGCGGCGATCTATTGAAGGCGCTGCGTCTGGATCGACATCTTCGCGTTGAGTTGCGCCATCCATGCTGCGAGCGATGCGGTCAATCTCGTTGTCGATCATGCGGACGCTTGCGTGTGGATAGATGCGCTGCAGTACTCGACGGGCTCGAATGATGCGACCCTTTGCTACGAGCCAGCGAGGTGATTCGTCAAGGTAGATCATGCCGACAAGCTGGAAGATGGCGGGTATACCACCAGCTAGCACCATCCACCTCCATCCATGAGGCAGATTGTAAAATGCTGCATCGATGAGGTAAGCAATGACCTGTCCACCTGTAACTAGCAGACTGTTGATTCCGACAATTCGGCCGCGCACGTTTGTGGGCGCTACTTCAGCAAGGTATGTGGGTACGACCATGCTCGCCATGCCTACACCGAGGCCGACAAGTACCCTGCCCAAGACGAGCTCCTTCAGTACTTGCGATGCGGCTTGTTCCAGCGCCCCGAGAAGGAAGAGAACACCAGAAGCTACCATGACCTTTTTACGGCCTAGCCAGTCAGCCATCCTCCCTGCGATAATGGATCCGAAAATAGCACCGACCGTCGTCGCGCTAACAATCAGCTCTTGCTCCCCCTCGCTGAGTTCATGCCCTAAATCGGCATGTATTGCGACGAGCATACCAGAGGCAATACCCGTATCCCAACCAAATTGTAGTGAGCATAGACAGGCCACCCCAGTAAGCCGTGCGAGGTAGCTCGCCGAACTGAGCTCCGAATCATCCAATGCACTGAGATTGTCCTCGTCGTCTCTGTCATCTTCTTCGTCTGCTGCCGAGCGAAGAGGATTGAAACGATCCAAATCACTGAGCAGGTCAGTTTTCCTTGCGCTCTCACCGCCATTGGTCTCAGCAGTTGGGTCAACAGCAGCACTAGTCGGGTCCGTCATCCTTGTACCCCCCAAGCCTTTTGAACGATTGACCTTTATCTGCCCTTGTTCAGTAGTCTCGTTCGCAGATGTTGAGAACGTATCAAGCTCAAAATTCGAATCAAAAGAATCAAAAGATGTCGGAGAAGAAATGCGAAATGAGGGTAGTGGCGACGGGCCCGCCCGCCGCTTGTCTTTGGATGTTGTCGGCGGAATGATGGAGGAGGGCTCTGCGGTGCTATGTTGGCATCTGTTGCAATTAGAATTGGTGTATTCGTTGCAGTGAAGATTGCTGTAAAGCAGTAGCTTGAGACGTTGCGATGGTGGAATGTGCTTGACTGTAGGGGTGATGATGTCCAAAGGAGAGACGTTGCTCAGACCTCGAATGCCATGACGAACCAGCTGAAGCAAGCCGAGGAGTAGACATGGACCCTGCGTTTTGAGCATTTAACCTCCACACCCAGACCCACACGCGGCTTTGAACCTCTCACAAGCGCCACGCGGTATAACAATGATAAAGCCCACCAAACCAAGAAGCTTCTCAGAAATTCATTTTTGAAAAATCCCGGTACATGAAATACGCGTCCCTTCACATATACATGGCTGCACATCGCACAAAAACGAAACCATCATATCGCAGCATCCGCCTAATAAACCATGCCTCAAACTTCGACAGGGTGTTTTCCTGGTCGTAGACTACTCGAAAATGCCAAAAAAAAAGGCCAAAAAAATTTTCCGAGGCGACGGCGGGACTCGAACCCGCAGCCTTAGAGTTATTTTTCAAAGGGGATTCCCCCCTTTCATTTGATTGTTTAGAAGCTCTATGCGCTAGCCATTGCGCCACGACGCCGACTGTTGCCATCCATCCATGTGGTTGCATATATATTTCATCTACCCCAACCTTGTTTCTGGTGGTTCGTGGCTTTTTTCTTGGCTTCATCATCTCCTCCTCGTTTTGTCATAGGTCAAACAATCTGCATTGACACAAGCGGATGAGCGTGAATTAGGATCTCAAGTGATTTGATGATGACATGCAAGTGGGAGCGGTTGATTTCTATCATAGTGCGTTGGTTGAGATGTATGGAAAATCGCACCTAACCGCGGCCGAACCAACCGCCGAGCCAGCCCTTCTTCTTGGCAGCAGCCTCAGCCTCAGCTCGGGCCTCTTCCTCCTCAGCGATTGCATTGCTTGGGTCGTAAGCCAGCGAGACCTCTCCAGCCTCTTCCTCGTCGTCATCTTCCTGGTCCTCAAAGTGCTCGGCTTCCTCTTTGTCCTCCTCCTCAACGTGCTGGACCGGTTCGGGCTGCTTGGTTGCAGCTGGCTGAGCTCGAGGCGCCTCTTTGACGGGCTGAGGAGTGGCAGCAGCAGGCTTAGACTTGGCAGGTGCTTTGGCAGCCTTAGCCTTTGGCTTGGGTTTGGAGACAGGAACGAAGCTGTCCTGTTGTTCCTGCTCGTACTCAGCCTTGACGTCCTCGGGTACGCGCTGAGCTTCTTGGAGCGAAACGGGATCAAAGTCGATGTACTTGCGAGCGAGTTCCTGCAGAGCCTGACCAGCACGGGAGTCCGACATGGCCGAAGCTCCTTTGCCCTTGCCTTGCGACTTGGTCTTGTTGGATCCACGTTGCACTTTGAGAAGCGACTTTTGCACACCTCGCTTCAGGCTGGCAAGCACCTCATCAGAGTGGTCAAAGACGGCATCGGAACCGCTGCTAGACTTGAGACGGGGTGGGAAATCGGCATCCTCCTCATCGACGTCCTCGGCCAGATCGGCAGCCTGACGAGCCTGTCGAATGTAGAGCTGGGCTCGAGTGAGCAGCAGAACTGCTTCGGCATGAGCACCCGAGAGGGAGAAGGCACGAGCAAGGTGACGCAGGATCTCGCTTCGGAACCAGGCAGCCTTGGCCTCGACGAGGCTCGAAACATCCGGCTCAGACTCGATGAGCGCGATAGAGCCCATGGCGACCAGACTGGTCTCGGCAGCATCGAGCAGTCTGGCGAGCGAAGGCACAGCTCGAGCACCACGGCGTTTCGACTTTTGCGCAGCAATAGCACGAGCTCGGTTCTCGCGTGCCAGGGACTGGCGAGTGCGAAGCTTTCTGGTACCGCTTCTGGCCGGCTTGCGAGCGTGGGAGCTTGCAGCAGAGCGTGGCTTCTTGGCACGCGAGCCGATTGACTTCTTGCGAGGCGTGGCCTTCTTGGCGGCGATAGCTTCGTCAAGCTTTTGCTGCTTGCCTTTGCTTCTCTTGGTGCGCTTCTGAGAGGCAGAGCCATTGTTGCTCCCACTCTTGCCCTTGAGACGGCCTTCGACGCTCGACATGGCACGCTTCTCACGCTTCTCGGCACGTCGCTCAACCTCAGCGACAAGGCGCAGATTGCGCCAGATGCGGAGAGCAAGCAGTCGGTAGAAGATAAAGTCGTGGGCGGTCTGCAGATCTTTGCTGGCGGTCTCATACCTGGCCGAGTGACTCTTGGAGAGGGCCTCGGCATTGTCCTCGACCAACTTACGAGCGACGTCCTCGGCATCGGTGAAGGCGCTGAGAGCGCGGTCGAAGGGATCAAGCTCGGTGCGGCCGGCCTTGCCCAGTCGCACAGTCGAGGTGGAAGCAGTGCGAGAACCATCGGCGGACGACTCACCCTGCGCAATTTCGCGCTTCTTTGCCTTGCGCTGAGCGTGCGAGAGACGGATACGCTTGCCATCTTTCTTGTCCGAAGCGGCCGCATTGCTCTTGCGGATAGCAGCATCGGCGTCGCGGTCACCGACAGCCTCGACCATGACTGAATCTCGAAGTGCGGCTTCCTCGGACTGTGCCGAAACGATCGTGTCGAGCAATTCGGGATTGCGAACGGGGATCTGGTGGCCGTGCCAGCTGAGAGAGAGGGCTTGCTTCTGTCCAGCTCCAGCCTTGGCCTTGGCTGCGGTGAGCTCCTCGACGAGCTGAGGATACTCGGACAGGACCTGCTGGTACACCTCGGGGGTGGCGGTGGAAGCAGCAATCTTGTCCATGTCCTGCTCGGAGTTGCCGAGCTGGTAAGCAGCGTAGCGCATCTGGGCCTCGCCGGCATCGACGAAGCTGTTGGCGAGGGCTTCGGCACGGCTGGTGGGGCTGTTGGCGGCGATGGCGTGGAGCAAGTTGCGGCCAACGGACAACATCTGCAGGGCTTTTTCCCACTGAGAGCGGTCGAATGCGGTGGTGGCTTTGATGATGAGCAGGTAAGCAGCGGTCTCGGCACGCGAATAGACGTCGAAGCGAGCAGAAAGCGCTTGGGCGAGCTGGTGCAGAGAGGTGGACCACTGCTCGGCACGTCGAAGCCTTGAAATGCCGCGCTTGCGGAGCTGAGGGTTGGAGTCGTCATCGAAGGCCTCAGATCGGAGCTCCTGGGAGTAGGCCCATGCTCGTTCGGCCTCGAAGAGGAGGAGGTGGGCGGGGCGGGCGTCGTCGACCTGAGCAATGTCGAGCTTCTTGGCGGTGAAAACGTTGCCGTGGCCTTTGGCGTTGGCGCTCTGAGCAGCGGCTTGCTGAGCCTTCTTGGGCTTCTTGCCTCGTGCAGCCTTAGCGGGCTTGGATTTCTTAGCCTCAGCTTTGTGCGAGCCATCGGAGTGGGTCAAAGAGAGCAGTTCGCGGAGACGGTGAACCTTGGAAGCACAGTATCGTCGGTAGCGAGCGAAGTCCTGCTGACGCATACCATGTTCGTTGCGAGCTTCGCTGATGAGTTGGAGGAGGGGGAAGGCGATGGGCTCGCCGCCTGCCTGGGACACCTGGTCCTGTTTGGAAAAGTCGACCTCCATAATGTCAGGGATAGACCGGCTTTGGCACAGATGTAAGATGGTGGTGATCCGAGTCGAAGTGGGACCAGTGGAGCTGAAGAGGTCCCAGAGTTGGACTTGGTGTGAACCGATGAGACCAGCTCGTCTGACCTTTGCCAGGAAATTCGGCCGATTCAAGAGTAAATTTTTTCCACAAAACTGTTTGGATCACAGGATCAAACACATTTTATTTCAGCGCGAGTTCCGTATTCTTCTGGCACGTCCAGCTGTGCCTGACAGCTCTTGATGCCTTGGATTTTCATGAGGGGCCCTCTCACGACTGCCACTCGATTGATTTGCTCACATGTAGCACAGTATCGCTCGAATCCCCAATAAGCATCATCATGACAGTGAGCAGAAGTATCTGGGATCTGTCCAGTATGAGATTGAGCGGGGAGTAGGCGCCAGGCTTGCACACTGTCAAGTGCCCGAACCCATGAACCCTTTACTCGGCCGTTTCTGATACAAGCAGGTGGTGGGCAGCCCCGCATTCTTGTCAGATAGCAGCTGCCATCGTTACTGACGAAGTGAGGGTAGCGCAGCGCAGTACCAGTGTACTGTACTATTGTGTGAACATGAAGCGAATTGATGTCTGCAACATACAGTAGCTTCAAGGCAGGGTACTGCTGGTGGTGCATGTGCGGACGGCGAATTTTGGAAGGACACGTTCTCACTTTTTCAGCACGGACCAAGGACATGCTGCCGAGCGAACGTGGGGGTCCTAAAAAATGATGCATCGAACAAAGCGCTCGTGTCACATTGTGCTCCAAGACCTTTTTTTTTCGATTTTTTTTTTTTTTTTTTTTTTTTGGCTTTCTTCTCGGGTATCCGCCGAACTCGACATTCAAATGTGCAAGCCCGACTAGCTAGCCGTTAGCTGCTGCTCCAGCCTACTTGACATGCTTTTGATAACTTTGCGCTCCATTGTACTGAGGTAATACATTGAGAAAGCGAGCTTGCAAGCCTAGAGGCGGGGCACGGCTAGTAGTGGAAAGGCCTCGTGAGCTGAGCGCCAAAGTAGCTATTAGTGCAGTACAGTACAGTACAGTACAGTACATGCGGAATGGCGTCCTCAGACAGCAATCAGAAAGGCAGCTGTGACTGCATGACATTGTGGCAAGCGGCAGGCGGTGCAGCCGATACGTCCATCCTTACCGACCAAGCCTTGTATGAATTTAGGTCCCTCTGCACGTTCCATGTTGCACACCTGCTCTGGTCGCCGTTCTCTTTCATACCCTGCCGAAATGCCTTTGTCCTCTCTTCAATGGCAACGTGAATCAACTTGATCCCGACACGGAGAGCTTTGAGCGTGAGAATATGGCAAAAGACCTCAGAGTAGGACAGATGAAGCCAATTCTAGATATGTATTGGTTGAGAAAGCCGCTCGAGTCTATCCAAGCTGGAAGAAGGCGGGGTCCCTTACATTTCTCTTTCAGCAATCTTTGCCTCTCTCTTGGCATTTGTTGGGATCCTCTATGGCCCGCCAGGACTGTTCGATCCGGTTCTTCTCTGAGCCATTGGGTGACTGTTGATATGACACCGTGTGAGAGGCCCATGAGTTCTGTTTGTGTACTTGTTGCGGGAGCCGAATCAAGCGCAGACTTGAGAGTGACAAGAGGAGAGAGCGGCCAGAGTATGGTTACGGCAATATGCTGAGGAGGCAGCATGTGAATAGAGTTAGGAAGAACCTATTCTTGTACAAGCTGGCTTGTGCGTGCAGCCATGAGGGGGGAGAGGTATGTGCACTTGAGCAGATGCTCTGTTGATGTCGGAAGAGCCGACTGCGTCCAAGGGGTCCACGTCGTGCATATCTGTAAAGCACACTCTTGTTGCACAGAAACGAGTGTCGCCTTTTACTTTGGCTTTTCAAGGGGACACATTGCCCATTCCCGTGGATACTGCTCTTGCCTTTTGCGAGTCTAGTACGCCACTCAAGAGGAGAGCCGTGCGCCTCCGAACCGTGCTTTGTTGCGCCTTCTCAGCTTAGAGACGTGTCTATCCTTTCAAGGAGCGGTGTCACTCGACCCTTTAAGAAGATTGTACT